CCTGCCTTTCTTCCCTGCATCGCTAATGCTGCCTTGGATGGATGGCACTGAAGGTAATGAAAACCCTCACCGAGGCAGCGGCCCCTCCAGGGAAGATGGTGCCTCATTTGCAGGTGATCTGCCTTTTCCCGGGGAGTGCAGGCAGGATGCTCCCGGGAACAAGGCACTGGAGTGCTTTCCTGACTCTTCTGGCTGGGAGTCACCCTCACTGCACCCGCTGCAAAGGGATTTGCTGTATTAGATGCCCATCTGCTACACCCTCAGCCTGATGGGTTCCTCCTCTCCAGTGCTCCCAGATGTGTCAACATCCCCTCGTGCTGTCAGCCACAGAAGTCCCAGATTTGTCTTTGACTTGCTGGCCAGGAGCAGGACCTCTGTGTTATGCAACTGCAGTGCAGAGCAGCTGTCCTTGCCCTTCCCCAGCTCCAGGGATTCCTCCTTGAAGCTGCACTTGGGGCACAGGAATTTTCTGTACTGGCCTGGAATCCATCCTAAATATGCATAATTCAGGGGATCCCTGCAGTCAGGTGGCACCTGACAGATACCAAAACCCTCAGCTGCAGCTAAGAGGCATCACTTCTGCACAAACATAACATGGATGTGCCCGGGTCAAGCCACACGTGTTTCCTGGAGGTTAAATTTGAGAGGCTGAGAGCAGCAGCTGCTTGGCCCATGACTTTTTCTTCTGTTAACACACCACCTTGAAGGACTCACTGTCCTTCCTTCTCCTCACCCCTCTCCACAGCACCCCCCCCCCCAGCACATTTTATCTCTCAAGGCCGTAAATCCTTTGCAGCAAACCCGCTGCCTCTCTGTTTGCACAGCACCTTGTGCACTGGGTCTTTCAGGTGCTGCTGGAATATAAACAGCAATACAACTTTAATTATAAACCCTGACAGGAGATGGACAGCACAAGCCTACAGGTTTGTGTCTCAATCAGGGGACTCCACAGGGGCCACCTTCTCAATGCAGCCCCATTTTAGTGTCCATTGGGCACCTGGTAAGAGAGGCTAGTTATGCTCTTTTCTTTCCACTCGCAATAATTATAGGCCTCTTAGGAAAACTGGCTTTAGAGTGGAAATTTTATAAAGGTTTTAAAAAGATGTTATTAGGAAGGATTTGGTTCCTGTGCAATTATTAGTTTAACAAGGCACTTTGCTCACCAGCTGCACTAGAACTGTTATTGATCACACTGCATTTATAGAGAGAGCACCACGCTGGCTCTATATTTATATATAATAGGTACACTGGCATATATTTATATGTGGACACTGAGAAGGTCCTGAATGTGTGCATAGATGTGTCTAACTCTATATGTGAACACATACACACAAAGCCCACAGGTGGAAAAGGCTTTATATAGGTATGTCTGTCCTGTAGGAGTGTATTCATCTTATTCACTGATGGCAATTGAGTAACATGGTCTGAGAGTCTGGAGATCAAAAGTACCTGCAAGACACCAGACAGGCCTTGTCTCAAACAGCAGGTGACAGCTGCTTTATGTCCTGTTCACAGTTTTGGTCATCTCTGCCTGGACAGGTTTGAGTGACAGAGTCTGGGGTTAGGTCTGGAGTCCTACAGAGGGAAAGGCTTGAGTTTGTGGCCAGAGGGTGAGTAATTAGCCCCAAGGCAGGGAGGGCAGAGCTGTAAAGATCCAGAGGGCAAGGTGCTTGAAATCTCCCAGCGACAAGTATCATGTACAGCAATTACTATTATCTCTTTGCATTTGCAAATTCTGCTGCTGCTACTGCTCTGGAATTTCATCAGAAAGGATTCTGGAGCAAGGGGTCGGTTCAAACCAGCAGGATCCTGAAAATTACTTTGAACATCTGACCTGTCTCAAAACTCTTCCTTGACCTAGGGGTAAAGCCTTGCTCTGATTGCCTGATCAGAGCCGACCCTTTAGTATGACTTCTCCATCCTGTGAGTGCTTGGTACTCCCAGCACCGTGTCTTTCCCCTCTGGATGGCAGCCTGGTACAAGCAGCCCATCTCAAAAGCTGCACCAAGCACCTGCATGGTAAAGACAAGGAGGGGAAAAGCAACTCAGGATAAAATTCTCATCTGCTGACTGATGCCAAGCCTGCTCCATTTGCAAAGCAGCAGGACTGGTCCAGGAAGAATACATGAGCGCTGTGACCCTTCCCATATGAGACCTGGAGTAATGGAGAGATCTGTCGACTGAGCCCATGCTGTACCCTGGCCACCCCTGGGAAGGGCTGGTGCAGAGTGGGGAAGGAAAGGTTGCACCTCAGATTAATCTCCCTTTCCACGTACCCCAGAAATTCACCCACTCCCAGCTCAGGAGGCACAGGCAGGTTTAAATTTGCACCTCCCCAGCCCTGCTGCAGTCCAAAGCCTGGACTAAGGAAGATGAGAAATACAGAGTGATCTCAGCAAATACAGGGAAAAATGGAATGGAGCGCAACAAGCTGGTGCCCTGATACACAGCCAGACTCTTGAGATACACTTAACTTAGAGGCTTTCTGCCTTCAGTATGTACTGATGTGGTTGCCTGATTCCAGAGGCTTCCCCATGCCAGGACAACGAAATCAGATCCCCTGGACTGTTCCCGCTATGCTGGACCAGAGGCAGGTCCTGCTTGTCATTATGTTTATGGCTTGGAGGTTTCATGGTGTGCACGTTGCTCACAAGGTCCATGGGAGCTTATCACAACCCAATAACCACGATGTCTTCCCACAGGGAACAGGTTTGGTGTGAACCAGCCAGGGATGAGCTAAAGAAGGCTCTTCTAGTTCACATTTGCACCAATATAATATTCTCCTTGGGAGGCTCTGAGGCTCTGATTTGCTCTGTTGGTCAGTGTTTACATGCACTTTCCCTATTTTTTAGCAGTGCAGGAGACCTTTCAAATTCATGCCACTCTTGGGCTGAAAGCTTGGCTGTACAGACCCAGGGATGAGGCTGGAGGCAGCACTTTGCACAGCCAATCCATTCCCCTCTGTTTTCATGGCAGTGGGGATTTTTCTTTACACCCTTGTGCCTCTCCCTCCCTGCTCTCACACACCTCTCCTGCAGCAAATGACTCAGTGTGTTTACAGAGAACCAAAGCTAATAGAAACCAGGCAGAATTCGAGCCTCTCTGGGAGTGCTTTACACACTGACAAAATCATTCTTTCCTCCCACGTTAAATATTCATGACACTCGGATTTTTAGATACAAAGGTACATTTTGTTTCTAAATGTGTTGATCCCGAATAGGTTTTTCAGCACCAGAGTTCTCTTTTCCACCCATTTTGAGAGGGAAAGGAAAAAAAAAAAAAAGCAGGGTGTGTGCCCCGAAAGCAACGCAGTCTGTCTTCATTTCCATCATGTCTCTTTTGGGGCTTGTTTTGATTTGGGAGCAATTTTGCCATGATATTTATGGCCTGAACTGCTATTTGTACAATGTTGGGCTTTTTGTGTACTCGTGAGTGTGTGTCCCTTGTACAAACAACACATCAACGTCTCCATGCTTCCCAGCCTGTGGTTAAGCCCATAAAACAAGATGCTTTAACAAAAGCCCCATATATTACTGCCATTCTGAATATTTGTAATTTTGAGGCAATATTTACATAGCCCATTCAGACTAAGCTCCTGGGCCCGCTGACAGATCACAGGCAGCTGAAAGCACAATGTGTGTACTGCAGTTTAGTGCTAAGCGGGGAAAGGGGAAAAAAAAAGTGCCAAAAATACAAGCAAGATAAAAAAGAACAGACTTATGTATTAACAGACACAGAAAGCAAACAGCAGAGAGAGAAACAAGTGGAAAATCGTATTGTACAAAGCAGTGATGGAAGGCAACTCAATTTGGATTCAAGCTTCCAGAGAGGTGTTTGGAAGCAGGGCATCATCTGTGCTCACCTCTCCACCTTTTTATTGCAAGCTAAAAGCAAGGTTTTTCAAAGAACTCAACTCCAGAGTTGAGGCCAGATCAATTCTTCCCTTATGAAAATGTCACTAAAGATAAAAAAACCACAAACACACCCAAACCACAGAAATATGGGGTTTTTTTTGCTATTTTCTGTTGATCTTGTTCTTGTTTAAAAGCACAGCAATGTTACAAGCTCACTTTGGTTTCATTCTGTGGAATTGATCTGTGGGCACACAGGGAACAAACTAAGATATTGCAAAAATCTGGAAAAAGATGTCCTTTTTTTTTTTTTTTTTCTTAAGGAAGAAAGCTGTGTGGAGATGGGGCTGTGGCAGAAAACTGACTGGATGGCAGCGGTGTGTGCCATGTGCCAGGTGGTGTCCCCCATCCCTGCACAGAGGAGCTGATTCTAGCACAAGGAAGGGTAGTTCCTGGGTTGGCAGTGCCAAGATCTACCTTGCCCTGTCCTGCACAGATGGGGAGATGCTGACACATCCTCTGAGAAGCCTCCTGAGATTTTCAAACATCCCTTATTGATTGCCCTTTCCCACGTTCAGCAGCTGGTTACTGAGCCATTCGTGCAATGAGTTGCCTCCTCAGGCACCCAGAGCCACTCCTAATCATTGCTCTCCTCTAAGTGTCCCTTACTGTTTCAAGGGGTTTATCCTTTCTTTTCTCCCAGTTTTTAGTAGTTCTGTGGCCTTATTTTGGTGGTGCACATTTAGTATATGGAGCCAGGAGTTAGGATGTGGCTATGGGGTCTGGAAACAGAAATGAGTGAGCCACTGTGAGCCTGAACACCTTCAGAACCAACCTAACCAGGCTCAGCGAAACATTTAAATATCGTGGGGGCAGAGGCTCAAATTATCCACTGCCCATGGGGAAAGATCCACCAAAGTGCAGTGCCAGATCAGCTGAGTATAAAAGGTTGTCATGACCCACACCATAGAAACCACAATCAAATTAGCACTAATTGGAAATTGCAGCCGAGAGACCAAAGACTGAATGGGCCATGAAGATTGAACTCCACATTGTCCTCAGGGTTCTCAAATCAGCACTAAAATCCCTTGCACTAAAAAGAGAATAACCATTCCTTCGAAGTTCTTACATATTTTAGAATCCGTGATTCAGTCACATCACACTCCCATGCAGGAGTGCTGTTTCATCAATATTATGCATTTCCAGCGTGGTGGAAAGCCCCAGTCTGAAGTCTTGCTGAAGCAGATGCCGTACAAAGTCCTGATTCCTTTCAAAATAAGCTCACGACCCACAGGCACTGCTGGCTGTACCACACGTTAGCAGTGGGCTTTTTTGTGGTTTCCATCAAATGTGGTTTAAAGGAGAATGTCCCCAGCACGCAAGGCTACAAAAAGAGTTCCCCAGTACAAGTCTGACCTTCTCTTCATAGTCCCCAAGCCCATAAAAGGAGAGTGTGGCCCCTGTGAAAGAAAGACAAAAGACTTTTGAGGACGTGGCTGTTTGATTTGATTCCTGCTCAATCCATACTATTTTACTGGGTTGTTTATTGGCTGTAAACCATTACACCATGTTTGAGGCACTTTTCAGGGGGCCCTGAGCCTCAGTGTGATGTCCATCTGCACACGCCCTTGTTGAAAGCCTCACTGAGAATTTTCTCTCAGTGTTCTGCAATTCCTGGGGAAAAAAAAAAAAAAAAGTGGATCTAATTTCTCCTTTGACTTTCTCTGGCTTACTCTTCCAACCCTGCATTCTTTGTGTGCCTCTTTCTTGGACAACAAGGAGCTTGGGCAATTGCCAGTCTGGATTTGTCCCTGTGACTGTGCTCCCATACCAAAACCTACAATGTCCCTTTCTCCACATTTCAGATTTGCCCTGTAGAACACTGTATCCCCTCTAACATGCATGGCCCTCATCCCAGACTATCTTGAAAAACTTCTCCCTAATGCCAAGTCATCTCAAGCCTTGGGAGAGGTTTCCAGACTTGTTCCCCTTCTTCCTTCACTTGTTGGTTCTGCAACAGCACCACCCTCATACTCCCTTTGAAGAACCTGCTGGCATTCTCATGTCCTGGGAGCTGCCTTCCTGTACTAATGCCAGAGCTGTTAAGCTGCAAGTTGCTCCCATGAACATCATTGATGGGTCCATTTCCAGAGAGAAAAGCAGTAGATCTGTTGTAACCTACAGAGATAACACTGAAACTGGCTTCTGGATGAGGAGGGCTTCACTGGGAGAGGGAGTAGAGACAAAATGAACTCATTATTGCTTTCACCCAGTGCCAGACACTGAAAGAATTTAACTGGTTTAGTGCAATTGGCCTTTTTCGTTATGTATTCGGGCGTCATGATGGACGAGTCGTTAAAAAATAAATACAGAAGTAATGATGGTAGCAATCACAGAAAGCAATTCTCAGATATAATAAAGAGTCTCCTGGATGTGTACAGCCTGTGCTACACTATTGATTTCTTCCTTTCTTTATTGCACTTCACTCCTCTCAGCTCACCCCAGCCCCAGCCCTCGTGCTGCACAGCCTGCCAGCCAAGCGCTCCGACGAGCAACCATGAATTATTAACATGCAGGAGCCCTTTAATTGGATGAGCTGCAATTAATAATTCATTGGAGGTGCTTGCAGAGAGAGGGAGGGAGGGAGGGAAGAAAGGAAAGCGGGTGAGATGTTGATACTGAGAATTGGGGCCACAATATGGGAGCAAGTGGGAACTTGAGATGTTCCAGCTGGAGGCCTCAAAAGGATTGCCGTGTGCCTGGCTGCAAGGGGAACTTGGTACAGCTTGGAGACACCTGCCCAGGAGAATGAGGGATGCTTTTGGAAGTGTTACCTACCATTTGCAGTGTTCCCAGCATGACAAATACATGGCCCTGTGCCCAGAGCTGGCAACACGAGGAGCCCACAGTAGGGCACAGAGCTCAGCAACGAGCCTGTTTCCCACCTGTGCCTCCAGTGCTCTTTGAAACAGCCCCAGCATCCCATCCCAGTGGGGATTTCCCTCCCTGAAAATGACCCAGAAACAGAGTGGGGTGGGTAGGAGGCAACGAACTCGCTGTGCTCATCACACCACCAGACTCTGCTTGCAGGGCTCCTACAACAAATTAATATACTCAGCCACACGCAGTCTTGCTGGCTTCCAGCTGACAGGCAAGGCCACAGACCATTAATGTTAATTAATATTTACATTACAGTTGTGCCTGGAGGGTTCAATTCAGGTCTCTGTGGTGTGATGCATCCTACAAACATACTGAGGATTGGGTCCCCTCTTGTGCTACTCAGTCCACAAACACATACAGAGACACGTTCCTCTGCCTAGAAACAGCCTTTTACTTTTGCTTTTCATAACTTGTGTTTTTTATGGCTTCAGTAAAGATGCCTGGATGGCTATTAAAAAAAAATGAAGAAAAGAAAATAGGAAAAACAAAGCAAGATTTAGTGTTTGTAGAGGTAGTAGGAACCACAATTTCATACCAATTTCTTTGCTGAGCCTCTAAGGTGTGGATAAAAGAGGCATAACAGTCCTGGCATACAAAGGCCACTAATGTATTTGAGAAAAGGGCAAGTTCTGGGGTCATTTGGCCTGACTCTTCCCTCACTATACATTGCCAAATTTCCAGTGATTGTCCCCATTCTGACCCAAGAAACAGAAGGTGCATGACTGAAACCTACCTTCCAGAAACACATCCCAGGCCTTCATGATTTCATTCTGTCAAAAGACTGGAAAACCTGTTTTGCCATTTGTGGGGAATGACACTCTTTGCCCTCTGGGACTCATTAACGGGCTGAACGGGGACACACCGAATCAGTGACCCACAGGATATCTCAGCTTGGAAGGGACTCATAGCACACACAGAAATTTATCCCAGTTTTCCCATATTGCTGAAGTTATGGGGATAAGCAGAACCAACAGCGACCATTCCACTTTTGCACCAGCTCTGCTCAGTGCTTTGATGCTCTGCTTTCCCTCTCAGAAGAAAACAAAACAAAACAAAACAAAACAAAAACAACAACAACGAAAAAACCAACCTGTTTTTTGGTGTCTATTTTTTCTCGGGGAATCAACTTGGGACTTTTTTCCTCAATCTTGGCCAGGCCACTGTTGCTTCATCCAATCTGTGCATCTTCTCCACACTCTCCTGTGTCTTTTAATTAACCTGTAGTGTACCTCCAAGCTCAGGCTTGAAGCCAGAGCCAGAAGTCATTTGCATAGTCTTGTGAGTACAGATCCACTCTAAATCTCAAACCTCCTCCTACTCCTGCCTTCCTCTGTGAAGCAGAGGTGAGTGTGGCAACATCTGCATTCCAGCTCAGCTGCTCCATTAGCAAGTTGGGAAGGTGGGGCCAGGCTTTCACCTCTCCCATCTGCTACAGGGATGTAACAAGGCTTTGATTCACTGAGGGGCTCGTTCTTCAATGAAAAATACCGGAGAGTTCCTGCAGCTACCGGGAGTCTTAAAGATAAACAAGGGCTTAAATCCCGCTCTGAACTAAAATGTAAACAAATCCATGGCCCTGCCAGGCTCTAAGGATCAAGCCTGGTGCAGAGTTCTTATCTGTCCCAAAGGCACAACACAGCTGTTATTTTTTAAGCTGCCCCCAAGGATAGACCAGCTCCAGTTCCATGAATACGATCACCTTGCTCTTCATTGACCCTGATTTTCCTATTCCTTCAGGTATCAAAGATATTTTCATTTCGAATATTTTAGAATTACTGACCACATAGCTGAACAATTTAGTCAGAAGGGATCCATAATCCATACACCATCCCAGTTCCAAGATTTTTCGAATATTTAATACAACAAACTCTACTATGTAGAAACCCGCCTGAAGTTTGGAACGAGAGGTTGAGAATTAAGAATTTGAAACTGATTTTTTTTTTTTTAATTGAAAGGATTTAATCTCCCTGTGCCTCCGTTTCCCCAGTTCTTCATGTGCCATAAGAAAGTCAGGACCCATCTTCAGAGTGGGAGTTTGGGTCTTAATGAAGAGGTTCCACACACTGCAAATGAGAGTCACTGTAGGGCCACTTGGAGCATTAGTGTTATTATAGGAGTGCCATGGGGACCCATTCAGGATGGAGAATCATCTTTAAGAGAGAGATGTGGAGTCTCTTTGCTTCTGCAGGTTAACAGCTGACCTTTTAATGCTCCATCTGCACAGTTTGATACAGAGCAAACGTTTTGATCATTTAATATGGTAAACAGAGAAAGAGTTTGGTAGAAAATGATGTTCTTTTAGCTGTAACCCAATGTTTATTTCCCCTGTTTGACTAACTCCTTTTCCTTTTTGAGGTAAGCAGGCTCAGGCTATGCAAGGCTGGGTTAAGGATTCCCCCGAGCTAAAAGTGTGGCCACACAAACCCTTTTTCCAGTGTAAAAGCTAATTAAAAAATTCCTGCCTCTGGCTGCCCTTGAGTTGCAGCTCTTCACCCCTTCACCTGTGCCTCTATCTGGGGGTTATGCTGCAAACCACACCACAGAAATGATCCGTGTTTAAAAACCATCAAACACCTACTACTCACAGGAGTGAGACCCTCCCAGGAGAGAAACCCCTTTAAAAACATCATTGCCAATGCACAGCTTGGATCTGAACACCATCACACTCTGCTCTGGTCTGCAGTCCTGCTCACCTCTTGTTCTGCTCCTGGCAGGGAAATTTGCTCTGCCAAAAGCAGACCTTGGGATGTTTTTGTGCTCCAGAAATTGCATCCCATAGAGAGGAGAACCCTGAAGGTGGATTGATGGAAGATCAACTCGTCCTTACAGTTGCTGATCTTTGTCCTACACAAATACAGGAGATGAACAAGTTAGTGCCAAAGAGGATGGTACTCCCTACCATAAACCTCTCCCTGGTAATGCCCACAGTCCATCTCAGCTCCATTGCTACCAGATCCAAGCAGGGCATGGAGGAAGCTGCAACAATCAGCAGACAGGGAGGGAAAGACACAAAGACAGAGAGCAAAACCTCCCAGAAAGATCCTTTTCCCTCTCAGAAACTGGAGCCATGAGAGAGGTCTCCCACCCACTTGTAAAGGGCAGCAGGAAACAGACCCTGCAGATGACACAGTGATTCCCTAAGCAGCTTTAACTGAGCCGTGACAAGAGGAACAAATCCTTAAGGAAAACCATTTGTGTCAGTTCTGGTCAGATGACCCACTATCTAAGTCCCAACCAGCTTGATTCTCATCCTGGGAGACCATTTTCAAAGGGAAGTGAAGTAGTCCCAAAACACTCTCTGGAAATGGGGTGTGAATGGCACATACACATGCAAATGAGGAAGAAGTTGCAGCTCCTCCTAATGCTGAATATGGAAAAGAAAAAAGAGAAAAAGAAAAAGAATTCTATCCATTGAGGCTTCTGCAGCAGGAACAGAGTTCATTTCTCTCCAGCTCTGGGGAGTGAAATGTATTCAGCTCACACAGGCCACTTCAGCATCTTTCTTTGTTTTTTATCTTTCCAACGTAGGAGAACAAATTTAACAATGAGATTCCGTTTCTGTTTCCTACATGTGGAATAATTAAATTTGCATCTCACTCTGTAGTTGGATCTGCTGTTTGAAGATCAATTGGACATGAGCCCAATGTGTTCTGCTCTGCAAATAAGGCAGTTTGCAAAAAAACAAGGCATAATCTCTCACCCAGGCAATAATCACAGGAAAATCATCCCTCCCTGACAGCACTCTTCAGGGCTTGATTCATATTCTTGCTGGTGAAAGAGCAGGAGGGAGGGGGTGTAAGGGGAGCAGACTTTTGGCATCTCCTTGTGGCAACCTCCATCAGGAGCAATGCGGGTTTGGTGGAGGACTGAAACATTGCTGCCTCAGTCACCAGTGGCAGAGCTCTCTGATTCTCTGCAGGCAGGTTTCCCAACCAGAAATTGTACATCTGCTGCCTTAAGTCCTTCCATTGCCCGCTGAGACCATGGGAAACATTCCTGATGACTTTGATCAGCTTTGTGTGAGGCCGAGGGAGAAGAATTTTCAGTGAAACGACAGGTCTTGTTCTCAGGGGGTAGAAGTGGGTGCTCAGTGCTCCACACGCTGAATCCCTCAGAAAAATCCATCCCTTCCAGCTTTGGTTGGCAGGATGGATATCCCTACTTCCCGGACCATCAAATCTGTTCAGAAATCTTTCAAGAAACAACCTCCCTCTCCCTGCCTTCCTTTCCTTTAAGTAGCAAAATCCCTTTGCCTTCTCTGCTCTGGTATTCCCTGCCTGAGACATTTGCTTCAACCATTTCCAGAATCTGCTGCCCCTTCTGAATCCCATCCACCATTCTTTTGTCTAGAAGGAGGGAAAGAAAACATGCCAGGCAGAAGGAAGAGAAAATGGAAACTGCTGAAGAATTTTTGGATCTGGCATGGCTGGAAATGAATAGAAGTTTAATTCAATCAATCAGAGAGTCAAACTGCACCTGCCCCAGTTAATCTAAAACTCTTCAGATTAAGTACCTTATTCTAAGTGGAAATTAATTGAGTTTGTCAAATGGTTCCTACTGCATTAAACACACTCTGGGTCAGGAAAACAGCGGAAATAAAGACAACACTTTTTTTTTTTTTTTTTTCAATTGAAAGGCTTTTAGTGGAGCTGGCTGAAGCTTTTGATTTGCATCTCTCCAGTGCCCCTTCCACAAAAGTGGTGGGTTTTCTGTTGTGCGTTTTGTTTTGGTTTGTTTGTGGTTTTTGGTTGGTTTTTTTTGTTTGTTTTTGTTTTTTTAAAGGCATTTCAGTGGTCTCATTTGGCTGTCCCAGGGGTCTTAGACACACACCCACCATTATTTCCTGGTTTTCTGCACTTACAGGTGTCCCAGCATAATCCTTACATGCCTGCCAAGTGGCATCTCTGTCTAAGGGTGGAAGTACAAGCTTCTCTAAACAGATCTGTGAGAAATAAGAGGAAAATTCTCTAACTGAAGGTGTCCCTGCCCATATTCTATGATATCACAGAAGCATGGAAGCATGGAATGATTTGAGTTGGAAGGGACCTTAAAGATCATTCAACCTGGCCTGGAACAATTCCAGGGATGGGGCAGCCACAGCTTCTCTGGGCATCAGATTTCTGGTTGACATCTCTTGGTTGCCTGTGGGGTCTGTGGGTGCATCACGGATGCTGCTCTGAGAGCACAAAGTCATGAAAAAAAAGATGATATTTGTTACTCTTAAGTTGGAGTTCTCTGTCTCCCTCCCTCATCTGCTTCCTCCCTCATGTGCTCTTGCACACTCATTCTTTCTTTTCTCTCCCTCCTCCCTGCTTCCCCCCCTCTCCTTTCCACACCTGAGTTGAATCTAATGAAGATGCATAAAAAATGTTTCCATTCCATGAAATGCAATCCATCAAAACACACTTCATATATATTGTGCAGAAATGAATCCATTTCAGCCAGGAAGGCTGATAAATCAATTTAAGTGGAAGACTTTTGACAGTTTAATTCAAATTAAGTCCACTTTGTTCAATTAGAGGGTAGCTGGAGGGGTGGTGGCAGGAAACAAACAGGATTGCTAGAACAAAACCTTCATTTTTTTCTCAGTCTGAAGCCATCTGTGGATCATTTTTCTTAAAGGAGGGACAGAAAGATACTAATTAACACACAATCAGTGACCAGCAAATTACTCGTTTTTAAAACCTAATCCATATTTTGCACAACATTCCTGCCTACCTTTGTGTGAGCTGCAACAGTGAGGGGTTCTGCTGTGGGTGTCAAGTACTTTGGAGTAACTCCAGTGAAAAGAACTTTGGGAAAGCCCCTTCCCCGGTGTCAGACAGCAAGAAATGTCTGAAAGACACATTCCCATGGGTCAAACCTTCACACAGCTTTTGTTTGGCTCACAGGCAGGGCTGGGACAGACGACCACTGGTGAGTGCCAGTTCTTGAGTTGCCCACACCATCCCCCCCTGCACTGCCAGAGACAAGCCTGGCAACTCAGTTTGTTTGGATATTCAGGCTGTTCCGGGGTATGTTCCTGCAAAACATCGACTTTCCCTGTGCACACAAAGGAGATGATTGCTGTCAGCTCAGACCTGGGAGGCAAAGCTGGGGAAACGTGGGCCTCCAGCTAATGGGATTAAATGCAGCCCAGTTACCTGTTCTGTTCTGTGAAACTTGGTGAATCAATTCAGAACTCCCAGTGATCTGGGTTAAGGGAGATGTCGACTCCCAGATGTTTTAACACCTGAGAAAGCTGTGTTTTAGTGATTATTGAGCAGTACATTTAAAAAGTGAGTGACAGACCTGGAAAGCAGCATCTGCTTTTTCACTTTCTAACATATTTTCTCAGCCAAACTGAGGTTTTCAAGTTCACAGTGCAAAATGTAACTGAATTTCATCCAAGTCTGCAGACTCCCTAACGCTTTCTACGCTTGGATTGGCAAAGAACGACCAATTCTCTCTTTTTTTTTTTTTTCCTCCCTCCAGTTTTGCAAAACTGAGTCCTTGTCACTGACAGATGGAAAAACAAAGACTTTTGCAATTAGCAGGATAATGTATTTCATGGGATTTGGGTGAGTTTTTCTTCTACTTTCTTGCTCAGAGCTGGTGAGCAGCTCAGAAAATACACTTTTTCTTTTCCTTCTGACAGACAGATTTCTTCAAAAAAATGGCAATTCTTTGTGCAGGTAGCACAAGTGGAGTCTAGAAGGAACAGCCAGTACTGAACAAAAATGATCCAATTGTTTTACTGAGAAACTCAGTAGATGAATCAACTAGAATAGGTAGGGTGGAAATTTGCCTCCTGTTACCTTCTGACTGGCATCTGACTAATCCAGGCCTCAAAACCCCAAAGCTTTTCATTTAGGCTGGTATAAGAGCAGTGGAAGATATTTGTGGAGGCAACTATTTCAGTTCAAAATAACTACCACAGCAAGTTATTTTCCCTGTCTGCTGAAACTCCTGAGTCCAGCAAACCCCATCGCTGCCTCCCAGTGCTGGACAGTAATTTTATAAAACCTTCTGCCAGCTGCCAAGGGAGCAAGAGCAGGAGAAAACAAGTGGATGTCCAGAATGTTTTGTTTTGTTTTGTTTTTTCCCCCAAAAAAACTACGTTGTTTCCCAAATAGACCCTGTTTTCACTGGAACTGGTTTTTATTTATTTTTCTTCCTTGTGTGTGTCTGTGTTTGTGTGTGTGTGTGTGTGTGGAGGGGAAATAGGTGAAAAAACCATGGTAATTTAAACCATTTCCCAGAAAGGAAAACAAGCAACCAACCACTCAAACAACCAACCACTCAAGTGAATCCTTGGGAAAGAAATTTTTTAAGGAAAGAAAATGTACTGTCAGATGGAAAACTGGTTTGGGGGAGCGACAGTGAGGGAAGGTGGTTGTGAGAATGGTTAAAAGAGCAACGTGAAAACGAGCAGAGGGACTTCTGGCAGAGGGGCAAAGCCTTTATTTCACTGTGCATGTGTCTCTTGTGCCCTTTCAGCCCTGCCCTGGCAGCCCAGGGAGGATGAGGAGGTGCTGAGATCCTGCTGGAGTGGCTGCACTTCAGGTGACACATCACAGCTCTGAGGGCTCCACGTCCCAACCCCTTGGAGAGGAGCCAGTCCAGAGGCTTCAGCTTCATTCCCAAACCTCTGCAGCACATCCCCAGCCTGGACTTGCTATACCCCTTTCAAATGAATTTATGGCTCTATAAATGGTGAATCATTGTGTATAATAAAGAGCAGAACAGATTTGAGTGGTATCCAATTTAATAATTACT